ACAGATTTTACAGAAACCGTTTATGAGCTACAGTTGCCCTCAACAGTACCTGTAGTTTACTTCGCGATAAACAACATTCAGAAGGAACCGCCTACATCTTCTCAAAATCAGTCAATAGTACTAGGTGAAATGACAAATATGGCTTACCGCATGCTGGTTGAGAGTAGAGGTAGCCTTTTTCTGCATTGCTCAATGTACATACATAGTCGAGGAACAGGTTACCACCACATGGTAACGTCCCATCACCGGTCATTTGAAGACCTACGTGAAAAAAGGGTTAGCAATAATGAAACAGAAAGGCAAGGAGCAGTAACCGCATGCGATGTTGAAATAAACTGTGAACATAGCCAAAATCTTTACAACTATATGAGTGGAATAATTTATGTCATGCATTACATGATTGCATTGCACTAACACACATATGTAGTTAATAACAATCATGAAGAATCGGAGATTTCTACAAACAGAGAATTAAATGACAGCAGTAGTAAACGGGTATTGGTCATGGTTTTTGAAATGAGAAGGAACGTGATTGTAGTAAGCTTTCTGAGCCCAGTAGAACCAAACATTCAACAGTTGTGAATTACCGTACATACTGATTGACACTGACCATCTCTCGTTCTTAAACATGTCAAAAGAAGCACCCGATTCTGGTGCGCTCTATACCATACTCTTTCAAAATTCACCGGAATAAACCACTTTGAAATGCATCCATTGCAATTTTCTCAAAGGGACTGAATGATAAAAGCACATAAAAAACCCGTCAAAGCAATAATTTTACAATATTCGTGTACAGTTCATCCGTATTGATCTTTCCTCATTTTGTTACAACTTCGTTGCTTTCCCTGAGCTGAGCCAGACCAACTGTGTTGAACAGAAACGTAGTATCTGGGTGTTGACAGAATCTCACGCCGAATTCTCGCAGCTCCAATGATAACTCCTTTAAAAAATGAATTCAACGTTGGAAGATGCCCGAGTATTTGTAACGAATCTTATTTAAAAACAATTCGAAAGTTACCGATGCTGATATGCTGCCGCTTTTCAGGAGGTTCTTCAATGTAATCGCTACCAAACGAACAACACGATTGAGATTAGAAGATGGGGTAGCATCCAGACAGTAGCGAACACAATACCTCACAAAGTCGTTGAGTGGTTCTCTTGGAAGTTCTGGGCGATACTGCAACATGCACGTGTTCTCAGATAGGAATTAAACATCAACTGCAGTTTCGATCAATACTGCGATTCCTTAATGATGAACGAATATTTGCCTAACGGTTGCCATCCTTTGTCATTTATGCGAACTCTTATTCGGCCACAAAACTTCTTTTCATTTAAAATGGACTTCTGGCTTTTGATAAACTCTTATTCGGCCACAAAACTTCTTTTCATTTAAAATGGACTTCTGGCTTTTGATAGAGATTTTGGCGTAAGCCCCGCCTACTTTGTCGGGCTTCCCATACAGTAACCACTTCGATCAAGGCTGCACCTTAAATGGAGGCTTTGGCACTCCACAGAAATTTTGAAACAAGCACCGTCCATCTGGTGGAGCTTCGCCCACTACCCCACCCACTTCTACAAGTCCGCCTCCAACCGTGCATTCCCACCTCACCTCTAATTCGGTACAATGCCCTAATTGTTTTCTTCGAATCTACTTTGCGAGCGAGAATCCTGGACAAACAAACAGACTAACATGCCAAACAACTGCTTTATATATGAGGTATAATAGACGGTAACTTCCACATACTCCGAAAAATATGAATCTGTACTAACAAAATCATTAAAAGCATCATACCAAATTGGATACAAAATTTGCGATGAGTTGATATCGCTGATGTAGATATGTAAATACATTATAATCGGTTCCTATACTTATTTTTGTCACTTATCTATGTTCCTTTAGCCTATAACCGATCTCTGTTGTAACAGTACACACGAGACCGGACCCGCACTAAAATTTGACAAGCAAAACGGTCAAAAACCCGAGAAGCGGCACCTTCTTCTTCCCGTTCATTTTAAATCTGGAGGAGTTGACCACGGCTTTGTAGATTCAGTGGCCGTTGCCACAAATTGCTTTTCTGTGCATACCAAATTGTTATTTCATTCCTTGTCGTTATTATATATGTAATCGGACTGCGCAGAAGAATCACCCATACGCAAGTTGAAATTAAATAAAATTTCAAGGTTAGGTGGTTCGATATGAAAGGCAGTTCTGGGAAGAAAAAAATCACGCAAAACCACCACGTCCAGGTTACGGTATGACTGGGTCCCATTGGATACTTTTTTGCACCTTACAAATCGCTGCTAATAAAATAATAAATAATGATAATAATAAAATTTTGAAGAGCATGACCCCCCATCTTGTGCTTCCTTTTTACAGTTCAAGAGAGACAATTTTTTTTTGAGAAAACGAACAACAAATTGGAACCTGGTAAAGCCGAGTAACTACTTCCATACACTGAACAGTCACATCCATTCCTTGAACTATTCGCATAATCCTAAATGGCTTTAGTCGGCGAAATGGATACCATCTGAAAGTGCACAAAAAAGGCCAACCTATTTGCCAGTGTTTGATCGGCTGATACACACAAATCGATAACTTCTATGGCAATCTGAACAAACAGATAGTAAAATGAATGAATCAAGAAAGCTGCAAACGCTCAGTGCATCTATAAATATCAGGCTTAAATATGGTTTGATTAAATAAAAAAGACACAAACCTTTACGTTCAGATCAATCAATCTTGACAGGTCGGAGTCGCTCATCTGCACGAACTGACTCAAAAAGTCTTGACTGACATCGGCCCGTTCCAGAGCTTTCAGCATTTGCTTTGTTTCCGACTGACTAAAAAGCAATCACAATGGCCGATTTAGAGTAGTAAATGGATTAAAACGGCCGTTGCAAACTGAGCGCGTTCTACAGTGCGCATTAAGATCTACCGTACCTTTCTCGTTGGCAAATTACTACACAACCTCATACTAATCACCCATATGTTTGTTATTACGATCATTACTCCCTCCAGTACATGCACAACGCTAAGTCTACCTGCCTGTCATCAAATTTGCTATCACCTCAAGAACAACTAGAAGAGGTCAAGGGGAGCGACTGCGATAGTGTATTTCCAGCATGGGAGTAGATGCACCATTGGAAGCAGTAGCCATAAGTCAAAGGGAGCGAAGTGGAGCCTTTTCTAAGCGAAAAGTGTGCGCTGGATCCCAAACCTCTTCTGTGCTTCGATTTCATCTGTGCTCCGCCTCTGAGTTTGGTGCTAGTAAAAACTTCACTCGCTTTTCAGTTTGTAAAAGCGTTTCATTTCATATTCTCTACGTTTTCTGTGTAACTCGTTATCAATCAATGCATGGCTGTTGTTGGCATAATATCGGTTATC